TATGTTCAGATTGGTGAGGATAGATGGTATAAACTCGAATAAAAATCAAAACATGGCCCTAAGAGTTGCTCACAAATGGACATTTGTCTTACTCTTTAGGTCTCAAAGGATACCCGTAATTATTCCAATTTAGTATGTATGTAATATTCAGAGGAGTAGGTCTCTCGGGATGTGCTCTGAAGTGAATGCCAACTAAATCCCCTTAGAATTATTTCAAAATTTGAACCATTCTCCACCATTGACATAAATAGTAGCATTGACCACTTTGCAGAAATCCTCTCCTAAATGATCAAGAGGATAGCGCTGAATTGCTTTATCTACTTTAAAAATGAACGTCAGGCAACCAACTGGCCTTGATAAAACTCTTTTCAAGAAAATCTAGGTGAGAAAGACAATGTATTTTGCTTAAAATATTAATTTTATGAAATATTTCTTGCTCTAAGTTATTTAGAGCTTTTTTCTTACAATTCTAACACTTCAACTTAAGATCTTTAAAGTACTTTTTAAAAATCTAAAGCCTATTGTGTAAGCATTAGACAGATGAGTACCATTCATTTGTATCACTTCTGAATTGGAGGAGCTTAAATTTATTTAAAAATAAATAACAGCTCACTTTTATAGTAATAACAGGATATATTTGGGATGATTTTGAAACTTCTTTGAATAATGTGGTTTTCCCTATTACTTACAACTTGATGAAATGGATTATTAACCTTTTCAATGAGCTTTGTGTTTAAAAGTTTTGTGTTGGACATTCCCTTTATGTTAAATTTATGTAAGTCAAGACTATAATTTCAAACCAGTCTTTTAAACCCCTGATGAGTTTTAGATAGTTCTCTAGTTTCTGTTTGATTCTTAGAGAAATAAAATTTCAGTGTAAAAATTATTTCTGCCTGATCAATTACTATCAATTGGTAAAACAGAGGGAAATCTTATATTGTGTGACTTCAAGCTGGCAAGGGTAAGGCAGTTAATAAAAACATTAGTCATGTTATATAGATTACCAATGTTCTTTTAAAATATTATTCTTCAAGGTATCATCTTCAAGTAATTTGAGATATGAGTCATCAATATTTTCAGAAAACCAAAAAAGAACAGATGTTCTTACATTTTTCCCAAACACTTTTTCTTTCTTCCTGAAATTTGGAGTGTAATTGTAGTCAGTGAATATCCAGAAAAACTGTCAATCTGGAAAGGTCTAAGAGAGACATCTGACCATCTAGAGAAAGTAGGTAAAATAGAGCAGGCATCCAACACATAATCAGGTCAATAAATAAATGATTCTCCAAGTAACAAAAATACATGAAGGTAGATTGCAATAAAACATTCTCCAATAGGTAAGAATTCTTTGTGTATATGGACATATCAAAGGAGTAGATAAAGAAAATTTTTAAAAATCCTAAAATTTTGGTAAATATGAACAGCCTAGGCTCTATCTAGGAATACTGTGGAAATGCTTGACATTTGAAAGAGTAAAAGTTGAAAGAGAGATTGCATTACCTCATGATGTGAGTATCTTCCTTAGTAGTTTGAAATGCTTCCATCTTTCCAAACTGAAACTCTGTACCCATTAAACAATAGCTCTTCATTCCCATCTCCCACGGCCAACCACCGTTCTATATTCTGTCTGTATAAATTTGACTACTCTTGTTATCTCCTGTAAGTGAAATCATATTTGTCTTTTTTGGGGGGGGTCTGGCTTATTGTAATTAGCATTACTAACTGTTGATGCCATTATCGTGAGAATGCAGTAGACAGTTGCTTATTAAATCCATTGTGACATTATTTAATGTAGAGCTATAAAGTGTCAAAAACATTAGCTGGATCCCCAATGATTATTGTGGACTTATCAAGTTAATTAATAAGCACAGCAGAACTGAGAGCATGCCATTTTATTTACTTAATAAGAAAATTTGCTCTAAGTATGAGTAAGTCATTGGAGAGAATTTGAAATACAGAAAAATGTAAAAAAGAAAACATTGACATATAATTTTTATTGCACAGAGAAATAACATTTTGATGTATTTCCATACTATCTTTTTAAAGTCTTCATATGTATTTATTTGGAAATTGGGATTATTTTGCATGTAAAACTTTCTTTTTTCTTTTTTTTTTTTTTTTTTTTGATTTGGAGTCTCACTCCGTCGCCCAGACTGGAGTGCAGTGGCCGCTCCCGGCCACCGCAGCCTCCACCTGCTGGGCTCCGGCGATCCTTCCGCCTCAGCCTTCCGAGTAGCCAGAACTACAGGCGTGCGCTAACACGCTTGGCTGATTTTTCGATTTATTGTAGAGATGCGGGCTCGCCAACTTGCCCAGGCGGGTCTTGAACTCGGCAATCCACTCACCTCAGCCTCCCAAAGCGCTGGGATTACAGGCTGAGCCCCCGAGCCCGGCTGTCCATTTTGTTTTTTACACATTTCTACTTTATCATTACAATCAATATTCTAGGTAAGCGCCATTTTTATTGATTGCACAAGACATCATCATGTAGATAATTCACATTTACTTCATCATACTGACTGCATGGTTACTACCATTTAAGTGTTCTGAATTTTTTACTGTTATAAATGAGATTACGATGAACACCATGTTGTATAAATATTGTGGCAGATTCTAAATATTTCTTTCTAATAGATTCATTGCTACAGGTCAAAAGATATAAATGTTTAAAAGTTTATTTAATCTACTACAAATTATTTTCCAATAATTGCACAATTTATCTGTCAACCAGAAATGCAATTAAGTTCCCATTTCACTGTATTCTAGACAACACCATATATTCTTATCATTTTTTAAAATCTTGCCATCTTGATAGGCAAAATAAATATACTTCATAGGTGTTTCAAATGATGTTTCTCTGATTAGTAATGAAAGTATATTTAATTTATTTTTTTAAATGCATTTCTTTGAGATTTTTCTGTTCCTGCCATTGACCTGTTTTCTAGTGATTATTCTTACTGATTTATACATCTTTTCATAGAGTATTAGACAAACAGTATCCCTTTTATTGCAAATTATCTCTGTTTTTGTTTCACAATTAATATTTATTCATGATTTTGACATACATTGGTATCAATGAGTTTGTCCACTTTTAATCCTTAAGATCTTTCAGATTTCTTTTGCTAGCATTTAAATCTTTATGCATATGCATACATAAATAATTTTACATGTATTTCATGCATACATGAATAATTTTAATAATTTTAAGGATAAGTGGCGTTATAAATAACCTGGAGCCAGGCATGATGGCTCATGCCTGTAATCTTAGCACTTTGAGGTAGAGGAGAGGGGATTGCCTGAGTTCAGGGGTTCGAGACCAACCTGGGCAACATGGTGAGACCTCGTCTCTACAAAAAGTCAAAAAAATTAGCTGGATGTGGGTGGCAAATGCCTATAGTTTCAGCTACTTGGAAGGATGAGGTGGAAGAATTACCTGAGCCCAGCAGGTGGAGGCTGCAGTGACCATGAGCATGCCACTGCACTCCAGCCTGGGTGACAGAGTGAAAACTCCTACTAAAAAAATTTTTTTAAAATAAATAAATAAATAAATAACCTGTATAGACTTCTATCTTTCCCCTTATCTCTCTCTCTCCTTCCCACTTCCATTCATATCACTTTCCCCACCTTCCCCCAAAAGGTACAAATACCATAACAGCAGTCTCTTAGTTTCCAAAACATTTTGCTTTATTTTTAATTTTGTTGATGTTGTTGTTTTAGAGGTGAGTTCTTGCTACATTATCCAAGCTGGACTCAAGTTCCTGGGTTCAAGAGATCCTTCTACCTAGCCTCCTGAATAGCTGAGACTACAGGCACATGCATCACTCTCAGCCAAAGCATTTGCTTTTAAGTGCATATTCCAATCACATTCAAAATAGTAGGTTACTAAGAATATGCAACTGAAAATAGTCTTTAAAAATTTTTACTATGGTAGAATAGTCACAAAATAAAATTTACTACTTTAGCCATAGTTAAGAGAATATTTCAGTGGAATTTGTATTGTTGTACACCTCCCTCCACCATTCACTTCAGAACTCTATCCATCACCCCAAACTAAAATTCTGTACCCATTAAACAATAAGTCCTCATTCCAACCTCCCATAGACAACCACTATTCTATAGTCTATCTACACAAATTTGACTACTCTAGGTACTCCTGTAAGTAAGATCATAGAATATTTGTCTTTTAAAAAAAAATCTGGCTTATTATACTTAGCACTATGTCCCCAATGTTCATCCAAGTTGCAACATGTCAGAATTTCACTCTCCCTTAAAGCTGAATAATACTCCGTTGTATGTATATACCACAGTTTACTTATCCATTCACCTGACATTTGTATTGTTTCCACCTTTTGGTTATTGTGATTATGCTGATCTGAACTTTGGTGTACAAAAAGAGTCTTTTAAACAACCTTGTTAATCAGTACATATACAGTCATTGAAATTGATTAAAAACACTGATACCAATTCTCGACACTTGAATTATAAATCAGGGTTGGGCGCGGTGGCTCAAGTCTGTAATCCCAGCACTTTGGGAGGATGAGGCAAGAGGACTGCTTGAGTCCAGGGGTTCGAGACCAGCCTAGAGAGCTTGGCAAGACCTTGTCTCTACAATAAATAAATAAATAAATAAGCCAAGGATGGTGGCACGTATCTGTAGTTCCAGCTACTTAGAAGGCTGAGGTGGAAGAATCACCTGAGTCCAGCAGGTCCAGGCTGTGGTGGCCGTGAGACTCCAATTCAAAAAAAAAAAATTAGAACTATAAATCAGCTTTACCTAACCCACAAACATAGAGAATTTTTTTACTCTGAATATTTCTCTTAAGATCCATCCATTTTTATGAATCCAACCTGAAGTTTTTTCTTCCTAAAAAATATGCTAGGCATAAATTTAATCATTAGCCAAAAAGGTACTAGCATAAGGAGATGATTATCCCCAGAACCAGTCCCCACACACCCAAGTTCAGGTGACACAGAAGCATTATGGAAGATGTGCCCCTTCCTTTAAGCCAAAGGAAGCGCAATATATTTTGAGCATATTATAAATTAATACCTTATTTCTCTACAATTTTGTTCTAGAAAAGTCAAAAATGACTGAAGAAAATCATTCCATGAAAAGTGAGTTTATCCTCACAGGATTTACATATCACCCAGAGCTGAAGACCCTGTTGTTTGTAGTGTTCTTTTCCATCTATCTGATCACCATGGTAGGAAATCTTGGTTTGGTGGCCTTGATTTTTACACAGCAACAACTTCACACACCAATGTACATCTTTCTGGGCAACTTGGCTTTTGTGGATTCTTGCTGTGCCTGTGCCATTACTCCCAAGATGTTAGAGAACTTCTTTTCAGAGGACAAAACAGTTTCCCTCTATGAATGCACTACACAGTTTTATTTTCTTTGCACTGTTGAAACTGCAGACTGCTTTCTCCTGGCTGCAATGGCCTATGACCGCTATGTGGCCGTATGCAGCCCACTACAGTACCACACTATGATGTCCAAGAAACTCTGTGTTCAGATGACCACAGGCGCCTTCATAGTTGGAAACCTGCATTCCATGATTCACGTAGGGCTCATATTTAGGTTAGCTTTCTGTGGCTCAAATCATATCAACCATTTTTATTGTGATCTTCTTCCTCTGTATAGACTCTCTTGTGTTGACCCTTATGTCAATGAACTGGTTCTATTCATCTTTTCGGGCTCAATTCAAGTCTTCACCATAGGTAGTGTCTTAATATCTTATATCTATATTATTTTTACTGTTTTCAAAATGAAATCTAAAGAGGGAAGGATCAAAGCCTTTTCTACCTGTGCATCCCACTTTTTGTCTGTTTCATTATTCTATGGATCTCTTTTCTTCATGTACATTAGACCAAATTTGCTTGAAGAAGGGGATAAAGATATACCAGCAGCTATTTTGTTTACAATGGTAGTTCCCTTACTAAATCCTTTCATTTATAGCCTGAGAAATAAGGATGTAATAAGTGTTTTGAGAAAGATTCTGTTGAAAAATTATCTCAAAAAAGATTGAAACAAATGACATCTACTGTAACTTAATGATTTAAATGCAGCAAAAACTTCCATGTGAAATTACACAGAGGACATGTACAAATTGTAAGTAAAATATTAAATATAATGATACATTCAAACTTAGCAGCAATAGGCAAGGGTAAAATATACAAAAAAATAGAAAACTATGCTAAACTCACAAAACTAGAAGTAACAAATTTTAAAAACCATTCCATTAAACATTGCTAACCAGCCCACTTTGACATCTTACAGCATGAGCGTTCTAGTTAAGCTGAAAAAGTTTAATTTTGTGTAAATGGTCAACCCATAAAATCATTACATATATGAACAACAAAGTTCTGGCAAATAAATTTTGAGGAATCATTTTTAATAGCATTATGGAAACATTATTTTAGGTAAGCTAAAGATAGTGGGGAAATTACATTTTCAAATAATAGTGAATATTATATTTCCAAATTGAAATTGTTGAGTTATGATTAAACACGAAACATCTATTTTCAAGAGAAGCTACATTAAGTGATTATATCTACCCCAATATCTACATGCATAAAGATAACATAACATAAATTTCCAAACAGTTCAAACCTTAGGTAGAATTTGAAGAACCTTCTCTGTCAGTAAGTTAAGCACAATGTTTCTGTGTTCCTTCCTGAAAGGTGAGGAAGGGGTTCAACAATGGAAACACTACACTAGGTATATTCTATATTGACAAGTATGGTTGTTGAATTGTGGGTAGGACTAATCTAAAACAATTTCTTTCTTTTTCTTTTTCTTTTCACCATTGCAAAACCTAAAGTTGGGTATTGTACAGTAATGACTGTAATGTGATCTTATAAAAAAATACTTTCCAATTACTTACTCAGCAGGTACTTATGGAAACCCTGTTATAGGGAGGCACTGTTCTAGGTGCTGGGCTATATCAGTTACAAAAAATGTTAGTTTTTCCATCTTCTGAAAAAATAAAACATTGCTCCAATTGCAATCACTAACTTCTGGATCAAGAAGGACCCACATTACATAACAGAAATTTCCCCCTTCCACCTCTTGATGCTCTCAGGTCCTGTCTGACTTCCCAGAGGCGATGGGCAGGTTGCAGTTGTGCTTGCTGAAAGCTAGCACGCCACCAGAGGCTGACATCACAGGGAAAATCAATATGCTGAGTCTGTATAGAAAAAACAGTAGGAAAGCAGATACATTTCCAATTCCCTAACTCATGAATGCAAAAATATAACCACCTAGGCTTTCTTTTGTAACCTCCAAGAAAACTAACCCAGTTCATTCCAGTTATACTCAGATATTTCAAGATCTCTGTTTGTTTCAAACTATATTCCATCAATTTAGGATGTACCCAATACTACCTCCAGCATTCCTTTGTTGCATGTAAACGTGTAGGCCTTTGCCTGATATCATGACCCTGAGTACAAGTGTTGTGTTACAGATGAACTCTGGCCAAGCTGTGATCCTCTGAGATGTTTGAATCTACCTGACTCTCTGGTTATCTCTTCATGCCATCATCTCTTTTATGTATCTACATCCTTTACTAGCTCCAGGCTACACTGATTTGCAGCTAAAATGTTTACTTATCCCATCAAAGCTTTCAGTATGCTGGCTGTCTCTCTTTTACTCTTTCTTTGCTAATTTCTAAGTAAATTATTTTGACCTCCTTCTTTCAGGATCCAGGGAAAGTTGAAAGGCATCATTATGGCATTTCTAATGCCACAAAACACAAGTGAAATTCAGGACTTTGAAAACTTACGTGAGTCCCTCCTCCTGAGGGTCCCTTTTGCACATAGCTTGCCAAACTTCCCTGAATAATTGAAGTCACAGAACCCCATTCCAGAGAACACCAACTCTTCCTCTCTGACATTCTTTTTTACCCCAACTCACTGAATTTTTTTTTCTAATATGATGTCCACCTCTTACATCATTACACACATTTTCCAATTCTACTTCTATGGAACAAAATCAGATGAGATGTTGCACAATGGTTGAAGATAGACATTATGGCAAATCAAGGAGAAAAGTGGAGAAATCATTTTATCAGTGGTTAGTCTATTTAGGAATATTTGTTTTATGACAATTCTTAATTGCCTAAAAGCTTTGTCAGTTCAGAGAGTGGCATTTAGAATACCATGATAATGGCAATCTCTTCATTGACTCATCAGTTAATATCATAATTTTAGCATACTATGTATACAAAGATTAACATTTGAGCTAATTTACAGATATTTTAATGTTGTTAACACTTTCTTTTTACATTTTAATTCTTGGGGTTTTACCTAAATCCTAATATGCTATTTTCAGTTAACAGGCTGAATTTGTCAACTATATGGGTATCCAGAGCTTGGTGAACTGGAGAACATTTTATACACTCATGTCTGGGCACAGCATTTGCCTCCCTTCCAGAGATCATTCCTCTTAGGATTGCATTAGTTTTCAATTCTCACCCATTTCCAGTCCAGAAATTTGCTCTGAAGTTGGCATTGCTTGTTAGGACAGGTCTGCTTTATCAAAGAGCTGATTTCCCCATTTAGTTGGTTCATAGGTGATGTTGGTGAAAAATCAGAGAAGCAGAATGCAATATCTAGAGCCTATTCAAGTCCAGAGTCATACTAACTACTACAACTTTAATTCTTCAGTTCAATAGAATAACTCTCAGATTGCATCTTTAATCTGTCAAGATGAATCTATAGCAGAACTGTGCAGGAGAGGAAAAAGAGGCATGTGCTTTAATAGAAAATTGTTCTTGCATCAGGGGAAATAAAGGACCTCATTCCACCCTTAGAGATACCAGAGTTTTGTATCATCTCTCAAAAATTTAAAACTGATATTATGATAAATTATATCTATACATTTGAAGTTTTCATTTAGTGTATGTATTTAAACAAATTTTTAACTGAATAAATATGTGATTTTCCATATATTTTTTGAGAAGATAAGCTTGTTAGTAAATTGGGTTCATTTGTTCATTCTAAAAATATTTACTAAATATTCTGTAGCATCAGCACTGTGTATAAGAGATAAAAGGGGTATACTATGAAATAAAACAACAAAAATATTTGATAAAGTAAATATATGTGTTCAAAAATACTGTATTTGCATATACTTAATATATTTATAACTTGGTTCCGTGAACTATAGCTAATGAGTGTCAAGTGAAAGAAGATACATTTTCCTACAAACTTTTACTTGTACTAATATCACCAAAAATTTACTCATGCTCCATGTTTGTTGGTAGTTATAATGGTCAAACAACTTCCAAAACTTCAGAAAACTGAATTTAAAATTATTTTAAAAATATGTTTAACAATTTTGTTTATGACTCTATAATAAGAAAGACAATATGTTTTCTGTTGTCTTGCAGAAAAATCAATTTGAATAATTAATCACACACAAAAATATCTTCACAAGAGTTAAGGAAACCAGGTGAGAGATTACAGCATCTGAATGTATACTAGAAATAAGGAAAGATACATTGCAAGAGGTAGGAAGGATAATTTCACATGACCTGTTTCGCCCTTCCCTCAAGCCTAGGCAGCACAGCTCAGAAAGAGAGAAGATTTGCATAGGAAAAGGAGACTACTGAAATGAGCACCCATCTTTGCCATGAGTTCCAGTACCAGGCCAGGTTTCACAAATACAGGCTCTAGTTTAGAAACCATGAACCTATCCTCCAGGCCTGCTCCAATGCCAAGCAGGCTCCCATAACCCAAGATTTCAGACTCTCCTCAGTGCCAGGCCAGCACCTGCAGACCCCAGTTGTAGATCAGCCCCCCAGTCCCCAGGTTTTATAGGTTTATTCCATTTCCAGTATGGCCCCCACAGACCCAAAATTGAGGTTCACTCTGGCATTAGGGCAGCACCCACGGCTTCATACTTCAGATCATTTGAGATTACACAGTCAGAGGAACAACAGGTAAAAGGAATAAAAGTGTATGAAGACTATGAGAATTATGGAACCCCATCACGTGAACCAGTAAACACATTATGGTGGTACCAGAAGAAACAGAGAAAGACGTTGGGGTAGAAAACTTATTTAAAGTAATAATGAAGGGTGGTGATGGCCAATAGAAGCCCTGAGCATTTGTCCTCATCCCATAAAGACAAAAGCAACAAATAAACAGTTGCTTATTGATGAAAATAACTAAAGAGCACTTGCGCACATCAAAGGTGTGGCACAAACTCTGTAGAACACAGAAACCCAGGCTGGAGAAGGAAAGGAAACGTTTTGTCTCCATCACTCCATCCCCCAGTCGAAATCAGCTCAGACACAGAAGGAACTTTTTTACTGCAGGAAAAAAGTGAGTAAAAGAGCCCTCAGCAGTTCTCGTCTCTACCACAGTCACCTACCAGCCTCACGACCAGGGACTGCTGCAGTTCTTATAGGCACTCAGCCCAGCTGAGAGAGCTGCCTGGAGGCCTTATGGCTGCACTGCCCCAGAAAAGGAGTCAGGGCTGTGCTCCACCCCCCGTGGCCAGTGCTGATACTGCGCTGCTCTACCTTGGAACCAGAACCATGCTGGGGTGTGTCCTGCTCCGGAAGGGGGGTAGTAACTGCAAGCTTCCATTCCTGAGGCCTTGTGGCTATTATACCAGTCCCACCTGATGGCATGCCATCCCTGAGATGAATCGCAGCTATCCCCAACTCTGTGGGGCCAAGCTGCCAGCGAGCTGTTCCCTCGACTCACCCTACTACCTTCTGCTGCCTCTTGGAGATTCAGTGCCTGGGCAAACCCCACAGGAGTCAAGATACTAGAGTTCCAGGGTTCTCATGAGAAAGTAAAGAGGGGGGCGGGGGGAAGAACCTTGGGGAAAAAAAAGAGGTAGGTCAGGTTATAAAATAAACTTTTAAAAAGTTATAATGAAGCCGGGCTCGGTGGCTCAGCCTGTAATCCCGCGCCTTTGGGAGGCTGAGGTGAGTGGATGGCCTGAGCCCGCGGGTTCGAGACCCGCCTGAGCAGGGAGAACTCATCTCTACAATAAATCAAAAAATCAGCCGGCTGTGGTAGCGCGCGCCTGTAATTCCGGCTACTAGGAAGGCTGAGGCGGAAG